ATAAATGTCAGAGTTGGAAGGGTCCTTGCATTCAATCTACCCCAATGCTCCCTTTTGGCAGATGAGGCAACTAAAACTAAGGCAGGTAAATGGGCATCATACAATTTGTAAACAGAGTAAAAGTAGAGGATGATTTTTCCCAGGTGTTCTTTGTTTCACATGTTCTGAAATCAAACACCTGGATTTCAGCTGCTGTACCTCTTCTAGTTCACAAGCAGGAAATAGATTTTGACTGCAAAGTTAGAACAATTGGTGCTCAGTACCTGTGAGAATGTATGGAAGTTACTTAATCTCTTAAACCTCATTTACCCTCTGCAAGAAAGGATACTTATCGTCTGTGTCTGGATAATTCAAGTTCCTAGTAAAGAATGCACCTGTGCCTGGTGGAGGGACTTTAGGTAATGTAATGCAGCCTATCCTGCCATTCAATTTCAAATCTGCCTTTAGAAGAACTGTCTTAAGAAAAGGGGATGGAAAAGGTACATTAATGGGGATGGAAAATCGAGAAGACAAAAAGAGAAGACAAGAGGGCCCTTACTCATATTTATCTGACCATTATTATACAGGATCATCCAGAAGTTTATTCTTTAGCAAATTAAAAAATAATCCCAACCTAGTAAATAACTCTAGTAAAAATTTTTTTAGATTTCTGATTTTCTCTGACATAAACTAAAATAAACAAATAGAAAAAATGATTTAAACAACTTTAGGTTCTTTCCATAACACATCATATGGAGCATTTACAGGGAGTATTGACTGCCCGGGCATCAGTGAACCCATTGTTGAGCTCTGGACACACTGGGAGAACATGGCTTTCATTCCTTAATCCAATAACCAGTGTTAAAGGAAAGCAATTAACACTCATGAGTGCCTGTTAATGCCATATTGTCCAGTGTCACATTCTCAATTTTATTCAAAGTACTGAGTGTGCTCTCTGTACAAATATAATTATTTACTCATAAATCATCATCATGAAGCTCAAATCCTGGCGTCAAGGAGGAAAGGGTTTTTTTTTTTTCCCTCATCCAGTCTATTCTTTGAGTTTGTTGCTTCCTCTGCTGGGAACTGTCTTCCATTGGTAAATGTCAATGTGGGTCACTCTGCACCTTACCAAGGACTAGGATGAATCATAACTTGCCTTCTCAAGAGGCCTTCTTATGCTTCTTGAACCCCACATCCTGGAGTCTTCTCTCTCCCTACTGTATGAGTTGGTAAAGACTGGGAATTGCTGCTCTCATAAATAGCTCTGGGTAATTCTTGCCCATTCATGTATCAGCAGAGGCTCTGCTCCACATAATCTCGCAGGGCCTGAAAAGGGGGCAAATGAATTCCATATGGGTTCTTCAAGAATCCTATCAGAATTGGCACACACTACTATTCTCTTATTTCAGCTTATCCTAAATGAAGTCACCACACTCATCCCCAAATGGGAAGTAATTCTACCCTATAGCTGCAGATGGGAATATGCATGGTTTGTTAAACAGCTCCAATGACCACCATGATTTGTATCATAATTGGTAAATACTCGGCCCTGTCTCCCTCATCCTCTTCTTCGAAGGAGGCAATCCAAAAACCAACTCTGTCCCAGCCCCAAGGTCAAGTTTACATTATATGATTGGGCTTTTGTATCCATGGGTTCCATATCTATAGGTTCAATAAACTCTAGATCAAATATTTTGGAAAAACAAAACAACAACAACAACAACAAGAACAAGAACAACAACAACAACAAAAAAATCCCAAGAAGTTCAAAAAAAGAAAAACTTGAATTTGCAGTGTGCAGACCAGTAAGCTGAGTTTCTGTGAATGAAGTGATATGTGGGCAAAGGCTACCACACCTCCCACTATTTCATAGATCCTTGGTCTCCCTTTAGCACTAGTTATTCAATTCACATCTTCTTTGTGTACTGTATAGTTAAGCCCATGATGGTTGTATCTGTAAAGAATATGTTCAGACTTTTTTTTTTCTTAGCACTATTCCCTAAATAATACAGTACAACAACTATTCACCTAGCACTTATTTTGCATTAGGTATTGCAAGTAATCTAGAGGTGATTGAAAGTATAGGGGAGGATGTGCATAGCATGCAAATACTGCACCTCCATTTTATATGAGACTTTAGCATCTTCAAATTTTGTTATTGGTGAGAGTTCTGGAACCAAGCCCCTGCAGTCACTAAAGGATGACTACATGTACATACATGTTCCTGTGAAGACATAAAACCTGGACATGGCTTCTTTTGGTACATTGACCAATATTCTAAGAATAATAGCTAGCTAGCTTGCTAAGCTTTCTTCCTCCCCACACATGCAATATGTACACCAGGATGGAAAAGGGCCAGCATGCCACAATGAACACACTGGTTTGTAGCAATTAAAACTCTAGTGGGCAAATATTGAATGAATGGGCTTTGTCCCTGGGTAAAGCCAGGGTGTCCTTGTACTGCCAGTAATTCTGGTCCTGGGATGGAGCTCCTGAGTACTGTTTTCTTCCTGACTCCATTGTCTCCCATTCTATTCTTTATCCATTAATCACTTTGGTCACTGTGAAGTGAACACTGGAGAATTGGCTTCCTTCAGAGCATAAAGCAGTTTTTTTAGGCTGCTGTTTGCCCATGAAGGATAGGAATAAAAAGGATCATTTGAGTCTCAAATTGTCACTTTTCTTCCTAGCCTGTGGTTCCTTGGGAAGAACTTTCTTAGATCATAGCAAGCCTCTTCCCATTGAAGCCAGTGCTCAGCCACTTTTGCAAATCACTTCTCCACATGATTCTGAAATGGCATCTGTGTCTTTGGTATTGCAGGCCAGTTACTTCTCCCTCTCCCCTGCTGTTATTTTCCTTCTTTCAATCTTAAGTACAATCATTCTTCAGTGTCTATAGGAAATTGGTCCCAGGACCTGCTCTGACACCAAAATCTACAGGTGTTTGTGTCATATAAAATGACAGGGTATTTGCAGAGACCCCCGGACACACACACACCTTTTCCTTTACCCAGTACAATGTAAATGGTTGTTGTATTGTTTAGAATAAATGACAAGAATAAAAACTTTATTCAGGATCAATACAAATGCAATTTTTTAACAATATTTTAGATCTATGGTTGTTGAATCCCAAGGAGGGCTGACTGCACAGGTAACGTGGCCCCATCAGTCTCTGGTGGAAGATCGTGGCTTTGTCTTTTCCTTCAGCCATAGTTACTTAGTACAAGATTTTACAGGATGAAAACTTAATTCATTTAGAGATTTGATTATTTCTGCAAAGTTGATTTGACAGGCTTTGGGCATCATGCAAGTTCTGCCTCTTCCAGCCTACCCAGGCTCTGAATTAGCTTCATCTTTCTCTTCTCTTTCATGATTGCTTTAGAAGGCAGAAGCCATTAATCCACAGAGGCACTTTTAGGAGACACACAGACTTCAGTGGGACTCCGATTGCTGCTATCACACAGCTCACTACAGTTGCAGATCTTTGTAGAATTGAAGCTTCTGGGGAAGTGCCCTTGATAACCTGCTCCCAGTTGCTGCCTCCCTGTTACTTGCTCCCCTGGCTGCTCAAAGCTTGTGCAAGACTCAGCTTCCTTGTTCTGTATTTCCTCCTACATTGAGTACTTGGGTACTTCCAGACTATGTTTTCTTTTGCGATAACAAAATTCTCGAGACTATGTAAAGGATGCAAATTTATTTGGTACATGCTTATAGATGTTGGGAAGACCAAGCATGGCACCGGTAACTGGTGAGGGTCTTCTTGCTGCACAATGACATGGCAGAGGGTATCACATGGTGAAACAGAACAAGCATGCCCTCTGCCAATGGAAAAGATAACTATGGGATTTGTTGAGAATTACCTACAGTACCTAGTGGAAAGTATGAAAGCTAGTTAAGATCCTTAACCATCAGTCTCCACAACCTTCTTTCCCTGGGCATGATGGTAATTCTTTAAACTGTGATTATGGGAATGACCTCTGAGGTGGGCCATTTGAGAGATACATTTTAGATCCCATAGTGGTTTCAGGCCTTTCTTAATTATCTGATGGTCTCAGCATAGCTTTATTGGGTTCTGTGATTTATAACCTGGCCCTTTGCCTCTATAACCTGAGCTCTCTCAGCCTTCAGTCAGCATTTGGCTTGAATGGCTATTCTATCTACTGTTCTTTGCTGGTTTTTTTCTTTTTTGTTTTAGGTTGTTTAAGAAGACCCTTTATTTTTCATATTTTGTATTGGTGCATTATAGTTGTACATAATGGTGGAATTTGTTGTTACATATCCATACATGCACACAATATAACTTGTTCAAAATCATTCCCCAGTATAGAGAAATCTCATGAAAATCAAAGGGAGATCTGTAAAATAGAGGAAAATGATTAGGGAAGGGAGAAGAGGAGAGTAAGGAGAAGAATCTGAGTAAAAACAATAATTATTATTATTATTATTATTATTATTATTATTATTATCATTATCATTATCATTATTGAGTTATAGATGTAAGCCAGGAATTAGGGATTAACATGTAATCCCTAATTTGTATCATTACAAAACCTTTAAGAAGTGGAAATTACTATGTTCCTCATTTTACAACACAGAGAACATATATTCTGCTAGGCCACACTCTGTCAAAGCTTGAACCTCTGAACACAGGTTTGCATCTACCTTGTGAAATATATTCTACTGTCTCCTTCAGTCCCTCCTTATCCTTTTGCAATTTAAGGTTTACAAAGCAATATGTAATATCTCATATGTTAAACTATTGATTAGTCATATTTATCATTTGCTGAATCATACTATGTTATAAACAACGAGCTGTATCAGTCATGAACAAAGAGAGGAATGAGAACATGAAAATGTAAACATGGAGGAAAAATAGACTTTGTTGGTGAAAATAAAGGGGAAACAACTTTGGCACAGAAAATAAAACATTCAGAAAAGCCACTAATAGGTCTCTCTCTCTCTCTCTCTCTCTCTCTCTCTCTCTCTCTCTCTCTCTCTCTCTCTCTCCTGTGTTTCAGGAATACCAAATTGATATATTTTTTGCTCAGACCTGGACAGACAGTCGTCTTCGATTCAACAGCACAATGAAAATCCTCACACTTAACAGCAACATGGTTGGGTTGATATGGATCCCTGACACAATCTTCCGAAATTCTAAAACGGCAGAGGCTCACTGGATCACAACTCCCAATCAACTCCTCAGAATTTGGAATGATGGGAAAATCCTTTACACTTTAAGGTAAGATATCCTGTGGATTTCTTTAAATCATTAACTGACACATAGTACATGTGCCATTTGTACATATTTATGGAATACATTACAATAATTTAATACATGTATACATTTATTAATCCAATCAGGGTAGTTAGCATTCCAACTCCACCAGTATTTATCATTTCTATGTGTTTGGAATTTTTGTATATTTCTAGTTGTTTTAAATGCATGATAAATCACAGACTATAGTTACTCCATTGTGCTATAAAATACTACAACTAATTCCTGCCATCTAACTACAGAATCTTTAATTACTTATGGTCTAATTTTGGATCCTTAATTTAAGTTATTGTTGAAATGAGACCCTATTTTTATCTCTTAAGTTCTGTTCTTTCTCATGTTTAACATACTACAGAGTTCTGAAAGAGTCTGTCCCCCTAATAGCAATTGTGTAAAAATAAAGGCATTCAAATGATCTGCAATGAATAGGAACTAATTCATTCATCAGAATCCATTTCTGCTGGAAATTAGTTGTGAAAATTATCTTTTATATATTTAACTCCATAAGTCCACTCAGCCGGGAAAATACAGATGTCTTGGAGTCCTAATTAACAAATGTCATTATAGTTAAATTTGAGACCACAGGACAAAAGACAAAGTGGGTGTTCCCCAACTCATCCCTAAAGGAAGATGCAGCAACCCGGCAATGTGTCCTCTTAGAGCCAGGTAATCCTCACAGAAACCCAGGGAGATGAGAGAATCTTCTTCAAAGAAGTGGCTTGACTTTCCAAAGTTACTGCATGGAAGTAGTGTGACCAGATTTTGACCTAAGTCTGAGTCCACAGTGCTCCTCACATTCCCAGAATGGTCTAAGCTTACCTGACCACGAAAATAGTGCCCCCCAGGCCGCCTTTTTGCTTATTTAGTGCTAGGGTCAAGAGGACAGCACCCTCTGGCAGTGGCCTCTGAGGGCATACAACTCAGAAAGGCACAGCTTTCACATTTTCCACTGACCTGTGGCTGCTTCTCATTGTGTACTTACTACCTCTGGACCTGGCCCCCAACTTTACATGTTCCTACTGGCTTGGCTCATCTACTTCCTTGACTTTAAAGTCATATCCAAGCTGAGGATCGGGTGGTTGTTCTGGACTCCAGGTTCTTGGAGACCACCTGCCTGTCTGCTACTGTAGGCTAACAAGCATTTCAATTTAGTATGGCTCAGGGGACTACGACTTCTCTCCTACCTCTGACCCATGCTCCATGTCCTCCCTGTTAAGTCCATACCGCAATAAGTTCCTCATGTACCCTTTCCTTACATCCCTTAATTTCCCCCCTCTCACACACACATCCAGTGTCATGAGCTTTCAATTACAGGTGCTTGTGGCCCTGAGAAGAAATCAGTGACTCCTAGTATTGAACAAGTGCCTGTAGCACAAATGACATAGACAAATATCAAAATAAGCAGAAGATAAGAGAATATTAAAGTTTCTGAGAAATAATAATTTTGCAGACAGGGAACAATAGCAACAACAAAAAATGTCACAATAGTGAGGTCTGCTGATGAAATACATTGATAAAGCTAGAGTTTGAAACAGGTGTTTCATCAATTTTAAAGAAATACCAATGAGACGCTGGAATGAAATAGAGCCTCAGTGAATCTTTATGGAGATATGTCTGGTCTTGGGATCCTGTACAGAAACTCTGTCACACAGGGTGTCGCTCTGGAAAGATGCAGTATGCTACTTAGTACAACCATCACCTTCCTCACGAAGTAGGGGATTGCCCAAGTAGGTAATCCCTCCACAAGTGGATTGATTTGGCATAATAGCTATTTAGTCAAATATACCAGTTTCAAACGGAGGAGGGATTTCATTCAAACAGATTGAAAACGACAACTTATAAAACAACAGTTGGGGTTTTTTTCTCCTCCCTGACTTGGCTTGTATTTGTAGACACAGTTGGAATGTTACTAACTGGAATTCTCTGTTTCTGATTAAAAGCCAAACAAAATAACACAATACAAAGACAACAACAGGGCTTCACTGGGTGAAGAGTACAATTGCCCAGAGTGAGTTGCATGTGTTGGACCCTGCATCATGGAACTTCTCTCCCTCTCCATGCATCCTGGTGCCTCAGCCACCCCATGGGCCTTACCCAGGGCCTTGGCTGTGTTGTTTCTGACCCCAAGAGTGATGCTTGGCTCTTCTACAGGCTCACCATCAATGCAGAGTGCCAGCTGCAGCTGCACAACTTCCCCATGGATGAGCACTCCTGCCCTCTGATCTTCTCCAGCTGTGAGTACCCTGGTGGGGCATAAGTGCTGTGTAGGGAGTGACTGGTCTGGTACTGGTTTCTGGCAAGCAGTCATGCAACTGGTAACAGTGTCACTGTCCAACGAGAGAAAACTGATGATGGTTTTTGGTGTCAGCCACCTTTTTTTATTCCAGATGTTCTTAGACAGGATTTATGTTACAAAATAGATAAATTTGATAAAGTGATGAGCAACTTACCATTCACCATAAAATTGAAGTGTTCAGAAACTAATGACCGGTGGACTTACCAAAGATTTATGCTGATGAGATGTGCATATTATTTGAAGTATATGAATTTTTTGCAATATTTTTAGGCTTAATATTTTAAGGCAAGGTGAATTGTTTTCTAAATAGGAAGAAAAATGTCTTTTAAATCTATTTGTATTTGTCTCATTGTACTACTGTAAGGAACATTTTTATAGTGTCATACATTTCATTTGTGATTCATATCATAGCTAACAAGCAATCACTTAAAAATTCTTTAAGACGGCATCTAATACTACAGACAAGAGTACATATAAAGGAAATATCAAATTTATTTGCTTACTCACAAAGCTTTTAAGTAAAGGTTAATATGGAAATATATTTGCTGAATTTATGATGGTTCACTTTAAATATATTAATCACTAGTACTTATGTATGACTCACAGGAATTTAATTAACTTTATTCAATTTCTTTAAAATTGCATATGGAGCCTGACAAACAAATCTGATGAAATCTCAGGCAGACATTGTATGAAACAAAAGATGAATGCACTTTATAATTCCTTTTAGGTTCAGAAAAAGACAAAAAGGAAAGGTAAATTTTAGTAATCTTCTAGACTGGGTTAAAATATTTTTCTGTAAATATTCACTTAATTAGTTGAAACTAAACTTATTATTTGTTGATAACACAAACAGTTCATGCCTACCCAGTGGATGTGAATGCTTATAATATCTGGTAACCTTGCCTGCAAATCCTTTTGGGAAAGTTCTCTATTTATTTACTCTAAAAGTTACAGAATCCTCTAAATCAATGTGTTGTGAGTCACTTTGGTATGACACACATACACATATCGATATAATGTTTATGAGTGATTTGTCCAATTCATAATTTATCAGCTAACCCAAGTTGGTCTGTTGATTCTTCCAGTGAACTGATATGGTCTTAACTCATTTATTGAGTTTGTAATTTTAGTGGTTATTTTCTAATTATTAGACATTAGTTTTGCATCTTCTATGCAATTTTGGCCCTGGTTTCTTCACCAGATTTTGAATAATGACTATTTAAATTTTCAAAACATATCAATATGTTTTGGGGTAGGTTTTGCACAATTTATTTAGTTATTTGTTAATTCGAGTTCATGTTTTCTGGGACTTTTTCTATGTGTTTCTTTGAGTCTTGTATGTAAAGATATTTTTTTAAAAGATGGTTTGCTCTGCTTCTCTCTGGTATCACTATCATTTTAATTTTTATTCAAACTTATAAAACTAAAGAACACTGCTAATAATTGGATTCACTACCCAGAATGTGATGCTGCTAATTCACTACTATTTGGTATGAAATTTATGTTGGTGCTTTCCTTTTTAAAATCCCTATTATTAGGATGTAATCTTCATGCAATAAAAACAACCTATTTCCAGTAAAGTTCACATATCTATGAGAATTTCACATATCTATGTAAATACCAGTACACAGAGATAATAGAACATTCCCATTAGTTCAGATAGTTTTTTTTTATGTGTCTGTGTGTGTGTGTGTGTGCGCGCGCGCGCTGAGACTTGAACCCAGTAGGACCTTGTGCATGCTAAGCACATGTTCTACCACTGAACTGCATCCCCAAACCCTCTTTTGCATCTTTGCAAACAATTCCCCCACCCCTGGCTCACGGCATTGCTGATCTGGTGTCTACTGCTACAGATTAATGGTGTTTATACTAGAATTTTGTATTTTATGTCTGGCTTCTTTCACTCAGCATAATATCTTTGAGATTCAAACATATTGGTACATGTATCAATAATTTATTTTCTATCACTGTAAATTAAAATTTAAGCCTGAGTACCTGGGCCATATAGATGGTATGAACTCTAGCTACCTAAATGTCTTCATGATTTCAGGCTTGTAGTTATAAATTCTTTGCACAGAAATTCATTTTTTTTCTCTTACATGTTTTCCACAAAGATGGACAGGGACTCTTCTTTTAGGGAGAGTTTTTCCAGATTCCTCCAGCTGAGGTTTCTTCACTTCCACAGTCCAGCAGCCATTAATGGGTTCTCTGCCCAGCATGGCTTCTCTGCTGGGGCCCAACTGTGTTGCTTGCTCACTTGGGGCTGAGGTCCAGACCAGCAGAGACTGTCAGGTTCCTGAGTGCTCCAGTATAGTCCTGCTCCTTGGGGTCTGATGGTTTCCTTTACTCCCTCAAGTTTTCAAAATGTGCCTAAAAAATTTACAAGCCCTTTCAAGAGTTTCATTCCAAGAGGAGATTTTCCACACATGCAGTTTACAATACTGCCAGAAAGAAAAGTATTTATATGGATTGTTTTAAAAAAACGTTTTATAAAAATGAAATAATTTAAATTCTTAAAGGTAACTTACATAAACAACCACTCAGGGAAACACCATTCTAAAAGCTTAACTCTAACAATGTCTTTCTAGAAAGCATACAGCACTAGGAAGAAGTCTGTCATGGTAGGAAAAATGATTTGCAAGACCATCCACATGTATTTTCACGTCTCTGATATCATGTGGTGGTAGAGCATGATCAGATTTGGGTATCAGGGATTGAATTCAAAGGCACTCGGCCACTGAGCTATATCCCCAGACCTATTTTGTATTTTATCTTGAGACATAATCTCATTGAGTTGATTAGCACCTCACTTTTGCTGGGGCTGGTTCTGAATGGTCCTCCTGCCTCAGCCTCCTGAACACGGGATTATAGGCATGTGCCACTGTGCCTGGCTTCAAAGACCTTTTTACATGTGGACAAGTAAAAGCAACTATGTCTGAAAAATCAGGGCACTGAATGACTAGATTGATGTTTGACAACCAGATAAAAATAAATTTAAAATGACAAAACTGGATATGGACTACTATGTACCATTAGAATGGCCAAAATCTGAACAATGACAAGTTCAAAAATAAGTGAAGAAGTAGAACAACAGAAACTCTCATTCATTGGTTTTTGGAATACAGAATGGTCCAGCTATTCTGGAAGACAGTTGGATAGTTTCTTACAGAATTAAATATACTTTTGCCATATGACTCAGAATTTGCACTCCTTGATATTTATCCAAGTAAATTAAAAAACATATTTCCACACAAAAGCCTGTGTACACGTATTTATAGTAAGCTTATTCATAATTACCCAAATTCAGAAGTAGATATCCTTCAATAGGTGAGTGGATAAACAATCTGGCTCATTCAAACAGTGAAATACTATTCAATGCCAGAAAAAAATATATCAAGCCATGAGAGACACTGAGGAAACTTAAATGCATATTTCTAAGTGAAAGAAGCCAATCTGAAAAGGCTAGATACTGTATAATTTCAACTATGTGACATTTGGGGAAAAGGCAAAACTGTGGAGACAGGGAAAAGATCAGTGGTTGTCAGGGGCTGGAGAATGAGGGACGAGTAGATGGAGCACAAAAGATATTTAGAGCTGTGAATGTATTCTGTGTGACACTATAATACTAAATTTATGACATTGTGCACTTATCCAAATGGACAACACCAAGAGTGAATCCTAATGTTAACATGGGCCTTGGTTGATCATGATGTGTCAATAGGTTCATTGATTATAACTAATACACCACTCTGGTGCAGCTATTAATTGTCAAGGAGGCTCTGAAGGGAGAGAGGGAAAGAAGTATATGGGAGCTCTGCACTTTTTGCTTAATTTTTCAGCAAACCTAAAACAGCTGTTTTAAAAAGTCTAATAAAAACAATAACAATTGGAGGTAGAGAAGGAATTTATTCCAATTATAAATGAAAAGGCCCCAAATAAAAAATAACTGGGAATCTCAAAATGTAAAGCTCTGCTTTAAAGAATAAATTTACTGAACTAATTTACATGTGTGGCATTAATTCATGTATATATTATTCACTTTTTATAAATGAGAATAACACTTTTTTAAAGGAAAATGTGCTTTGATGATTTGGAGTTATGGAGGATAGTTTTATCTATGACATTTCAGTACCTAACTTATTTCTACATTATAAATGTATATTATGAGGAAAACCCTCATCATAACACTGATGAGCAATTGGAAATGAAGTGGTGTTTGTTAACACTTGCTTTGAATTATTATTATAGTACTTTTCAGTTATTTGCAATCAGGAGCTAATTTTTTTTTCTATTTAAAAATTGAACAGCAGCAAATCTGAACAATTGTTTACATTTCCTGTCATAAATAAAAGCTAGGAAAATTCCTTAAAATGTATAGTAAATTTAATGAGATCATTAATATGATAGTAAAGTCTTTCTACTTATTAAACTACTTTATTATTAAACAACTTCTTAATTCAATTAAAAGACTCAGGACTGTACCTCCTTTTGGTGCCAATGTTTTTTGGTGGTAAATTCCCTAATATAAATTTTGTTTCTTTAGTAGTCTATCTGACTGGCACAAGCAAAACCTCTCAAATGATGACAATTCTATAAAATTTTCCAATATATTCACAGAGATTGGGTAATTTCATCTGATATATAGCATGTTTGGGTTTATTGTTACTATTGCTATTTTATTATTTTGATACTGAGGGTAAACCTAGGGTCTTGGGTATGCTAAAGACACAATCTACCACTAAGCTACACCCTCAGCCCTGGGCTTATTGTTTAATAATTGGGTTTATATATATTTTAAAGTAGTTGAGATTTGGGAAATATTTTAATAAATTAAAAACTTATTGTATTTTCTGTAGTTATTGAGTTTCAGAATCACAATTACAAAACTCCTAATATATACTGAAAGAGATCTTGGGCTGGGGATATAGCTCAGTC